ATTTTCACCCAAAAAAGGTTTGTGCAAATTATTTCTAGTTTCAATCAAATCTGGAGTGGCAACGAGTTGCTTATTTATATTTGTTATTATTTTCCCTAAAAAAATGAGTAGTGCTGGTACAAGGAAGCAATTGTAATAAAGCATTTTAGATATGACTTAGTGGTATCATCTTCTCATTGAAAAATACCCCAACTTCATCCTATCTGTAATAGAAATAGGTTATTTATTTAGTCCATACAATGGAAAAAAATTACAGCTGTCAGAAATGATATCCTGGACTACTTTTATAAAGCATTTTCTTAAAGCTGTAAATCACCAGTGCTCGCACAATCTCGTAAATTTTCTCCTCGTTCCTACTCCATTCTCCCTGTTTACATTTCCCCTCCTGTATTTCTTCCTGTATTTCATTTTATTGTCCTCCTTATAAGTGTTTTTACACACTGTCATTTTGAGTAATGCTTCTCCTCATTAAATTTTTTTTTTTCCATATTTTGAACCTATTAAGCTTCAAAAATTTGGGGCCTTTATGATATCGGAATTTCTGTTTGGATTTACAACATGTTAAGAAAAAGAATACTTCTAGTTTTGACATTTGAGAAAGTTTTTACTGGTATTAAAACATATGTGATCATCTTTATTAGGGTTTTTTACTTTAGCATGAAAAATAGAAGCAAGAAAAGGCAAATAGTAGTTGGGAGCACTAAGGTAAAATAGATCTGAATTTAATCTGAACTCCTCCTTTACCAGCTGTGTGACATTGAACAGCTGGCTTAACCTTCATGAGCCTGAATTTCTCATCTGCCAAGAGGGTATAATAATGTTCCTATCTCATCGAGATGTGAGAATTAAACAAAATTATCTGTGTAAAGTGCTTAGAATTGTGTTAGACATATAGACATTATTATTGATTCCGCTGTGACTATAATTATTATTTATTACTCTTAACTGCCTCTGACCTTCTTTTATACAACAAAAGTTATACATACCCACAGTGGAAAATGTAGATGGTAGAAAAGCATAAAATAAAGTCTTCTTTTCTACCCTTTGCATCCCTCTCTATTAATAGTTTATCATGTGTCCTGTTCAAAAATTAGTTTGGGAACCAGCACATATATATTCTGAAACTACAAATAGGTATTAGACTTTGTAGCCTGTCTTGAACTTGTGTCACAAAAGAATTTGTCTTGAATGTCTTTCTCTATACACACCTATACATCACCCTTGTTTTTTTATAATAACTGTGTCATGTTCTCTTGAATAAATGCTATAAGTCATATAAATCACCTTTTGTAGTTTTTGTCTTTCCAATTACATCTGTAAGGAAAAGTCCTAGCAGTAGAATTTCTGAATTAAAGTATATGTGTTTTCAACTTTGATATGTTTTGCCAAATTACCCTTTCTGAAAGTTTATACTAATCTACTTTAATGGTATTTTGTGCATTTGGATATGGTCCTGAAAACATGTATATAAATAAATAAAAATAGATATTTTTATTAAATTAACCAGGTCTGTGATTTATATTTTAGTACAGTCCATGACACTTCTGGATAATTTTTGAAAAATGTGGATTTTCATCTTTCTGACAATGTGCAGTCAAGAAAATGCACATGTTCACATATGTGTAGAGCAGTGATTCTCAACCTTCCTAATGCCGCGACCCTTTAATATAGTTCCTCATGTTGTGGTGACCCCAACCATAAAATTATTTTTGTTGCTACTTCATAACTGTAATTTTGCTACAGTTATGAATCGTAATGTAAATATCTGATATGCAGGATGTATTTTCATTGTTACAAATTGAACATAATTAAAGCATAGTGATTAATCACAAAAACAATATGTAATTAGATATGTGTTTTCCGATGGTCTTAGGTGACCCCTGTGATAGGGTCGTTCGACCCCCAAAGGGGTCGCGACCCACAGGTTGAGAACCACTGGTTTAGAGGAAGCCCCTCTTTGGGAGGCTGAACAATGGTCCCCAAAGATGCCCACATGATTTTATATTTTTATTTATTGATTTGAGAGAGAGAGAAAAAAAAACATTGATTTGTTGTTCCACTTATTTATGCATTCATTGGTTGATTCTTGTGTGTTCTGACTGGGGATTGAACTCACAATGTTGGTATAGTGAGATCATGCTTTAACCAACAAAACTACCCCATCAGGGCCTCATCCTTGATTTTAGCCCAGGGAGATTTCTCAGACTTCAGACCTCCAGAACCAACATAATGAATTTGTGTTGTTATAAGCCACCACATTTATGATAATTGGTTACAGCAGAAGTAGGAAACTAATACGCCATTCACGTAGCCCCGAATAGGGTTCAATTATGTGCACACATGCCCTGTATTGTACTATATGAGAGCATAGCTTTAGAAAACAAACCAAAAAATAATTTCATACACAAAGCAGTTAAACTGACCTGGCTGCCCCATCTCTCCTGAGTGGGGACTAGAATGAAGAAAACTCTAAAAGACACAGCCAAGGTAAATAGTGCATAACACTTGGAAAAAGGGTAGCTTTGTTTTCCTATATTAAAAATGTGAAATATGCCCAGCCAGCATGGCTCAGTGGTTGAGTGTTGACCTATGAACCAGGAGGTCATGGTTCAATTCCCAGTCAGGGCACATGCCTGGGTTGTGGGTTCGATTCCCTGTGTGGGGCAAGCAGGAGGCAGCCAATCAGTGATTCTCTCTCCCTCTCCCTTTCCTCTCTGAAATAAATACAAATATATATTTTTAAAATGTGAAATATTCAAACTTTTACATTTTTTATTAAGCCTTTTTCTGTAGTAAAAATTTTCTTTTGATGAATTACATTCCTCCATATGAGCCAAAATGTATTTCCTCTCTTTTCTGATATTTTTACCACAGCTATATCTCTGGATGCTTTTGTTATAGATTTATTTACCAAGCACTTCAAGTTTTTAAAGTCTGTGGAACAACAACCTTAGAAAGTGACTTTGTTTTTTTTTAGGATGTTTGTCATAAAACTTTCTATCTCACAGTATATATGTTGTCACTTCTATATGCTAATCTCTATATCTCTAGAGTGGTACCAGACAGCTTTTCAACTTATCAATTCAACTGCTAAGATAAATCAATTGAACAAAACCCATCAAATTTTAGATAGGAGTCTAATATTTAGACTGCAGATATAACAATAGTCCAAATATATATAGAGAGAGAGACTAGATGCCCGGTGTATGGATTCATGCACTGGTGGGGTCCCTCGGCTTGGCCTGTGGCTATCGGGCTGAAACCAGCTCTCCGACATCCCCTGAGGGATCCTGGATTTCGAGAGTGTGGTTCTCAGGTGACGCACCCCAGAATCGGGCTCCCTACTCTCTGGTTCCAGGTGTATCACTTGAGAACCACAGCTGCCAAGTCACCGTAGCTCGGCAGCCCCTGCATTGAGCATCTGCCTTCTGGTGGTCAGTGTGTGACATAGCTACTGGTCGGATGGTCGGATGATTGCTTTGGCTTTTATATATATATATATAGATTGGGATCACTATCAGCAAAAATAAAGATACTGTTCATTCATTTGGAAAATATTTAAAGTAAACATTAAAGGGAAATGTAAATTGATTTACATTACAATATAACAAGGTATAATAACTTTAAAGCATACTTAGGAAAAGGTTATGTGGACATAAAAGTATTATCTTTTTAAAAATATGCAAAATATGCATCAAAATAGCAGATAGGAGTCTACCAACTTATGATTCTATGTGAGACACTAGAAAAGAAAATTAAATGGACTTGATGCTTGGCCTTTGAGACGTTTATATATACTTTCAGGCAGTAAAAAACTAAAGTGAGTATTTATTTGATATGTCTGATACACACTATTTTTAAGCTAAAATATGCAACCTAACTGTATTTTTAAGTGGTGTCATCAAATAGATAATGATCATCACTTTAATTAGTAAAAAAAGAAAACACAGATTATTTTTGTGATCAGGACACAAAAATAAAGAGAAGAATTAACACAGTAATAATTACCTGAGCAGATGGATTCCTAATCCTGAAAATAAACATGCTAATTAAGCTACATATAATGTGAGGAGATATTAAGGTCTTCTGAGTCTGGAGAGATTCTTATTCTAATTTGCCAGTGCAACTTAATTCTCATTATATACTTAATCAACCAAATCTTTTTTTAGTTATCATTTATTGAGGCAGTTTTAGTGTTTCTGTACATTTCTTCCATGTGTGAGCTTCCATAGGGACAGACTTTGTCATCAGTGTATTTGTGATCTGTTCAATATTTGCATTTTTCATAGAGTAGAATTGAGTTTTGTTTTATCTCTAACAAGACACGTATTTTCTGAGTGCTATCAATGGGTGTTAATTGGGGAATGAAAGATCATAATGCTGACCTTTTAGAGCTACTTTATGTTGCCTTCTTTTGGAAGATGAAAATAATCTTTATGAGTAATTGGAATTTGTCGTTCTTGGACTGATATAGATGAGTTACATATTTTGATACATCTAGGACCAAACATTTTGGAGGAAATTAACAGAAAGAATGAGGATAATGATGGAAGACAAACATTTGTGTGAATAAGTAAATGTGAGAAAGAAGCAAGGGAGACAGTCATGATTTTCATACTTACATATACATGAGAAGCTTAAATTACCTCATCAGTAACTGATTAACACAAAGTCATCTTTGGAATGTCACTGGTAATATATATAATTAGCATGACATTTCTTAGTAGTTATCTTTATGAAAAAAATAGATTTTAGGGTTAAAAGAGTCATCTAGGAAAAACATTCTAGAGCTGCTTTTGTTTAATTTCTAAATGTTTTCCAAAATGTTTGTGTGTGGGAGTGTGCGCATATGCCTGCCTGTGTATTTGTGTGTGACGGGGCGAGGGGGCTGGAGGGGAGCATGTGGGGGAATGCGTGTTGCTTTTCTGTCCTTTTCCCCATGCTTATATTTTAGTTGTAACCATGGTATGCACATCTATTGTATCTGGAGATAGTTAAACTATATTAAAAAGTGGTAAATACTTAAGATACATATAAATTTAACTCACCTCAGTTGTAATTCCAATCCAACAAACATTTATTGAAAACAATGATATGAAAAACATAGAATTGGCAGTACAGAGCTATACAACCTAAAAACACCTGTGGTCCCAAGCACTTAGATCTTGCTACTCAAAGTAGCAACATGAACCAGCAACACAGGCATTTTGCAGGAATTGCTAGACTCATAGGCTCCACACATCTCTTCTAAACCAAAATCAGTATTGTACCAAGATCTCCAGGTGATTCAAATGCACATTAAATTTTCAGAAGCACTGTGTTAGAAGATCAGCATCTAAGGAAAGAAATAGACACTGTGTTTTTTTTTTAAAAGGCAGTAATTTCATAAGTAATGCTCTAACATAGAAACAAATACTGTGGGATAATAATAGAATCTAATTTGGCTACAGGGATTTGCTATAGTTTTGAATCTTCCTTCTCCTGTGTTATATTTTCCATATGATACATTAGCATCTTCTAAAGTGTGGTCAAATATGTTTGAGAAATCATGATTAAGGTACTGCTTAGAGAGGACTCATTCACAATATAAAGATTTTGAGAAGTCCTGAAATAATAAGTCTGTTTCACATAAACCCAGGATTCCACAAATATACTTAAAAATGCAACTTTTGACTACTTTTGTAGCTCAGTGGTTGAGCTTCAACCCATGAACTAGGAGGTCATGGTTTGATTCCCTGTCAGGTGGATGTGCAGGTTGCAGCCGGTCAATGATTCTCTTTCATCATTGATGTTTCTATCTCTGTCTCCCTCTCTGAAATCAATTAAAAAAATTTAAAAACTATTGCAACTTTTATTTTCTTTGCATGGCACTATTAACATCTTTCAGAACTAATATTCTTCAGAATACACTTTGAGAAACACTGCATTTATGAGTTTGCAACATTTTGCTCATAAATTCTTTACTAGAATTCTTCTGCTCTCTATGAACTTCTCTTTTTTCTTTTCATAGTTATAAAGTATCTTGAATAAATTCAACTTTGAATATAGGTATGAGCAAATAATACATTTTAGCTCTAACACAATGTATATAATAATACAGAAAGTCTGAGGCAAATTAATTCAGCTGTTCTGTTAAAAATCATCCAGGTATGGATAGATAAAGTTGTCTTTGAACAAACTATGCTAAAATCTGGCCTCCCTATAACATTGAAATTAAGCCGGATCCTGCAAGTAACGAAAGGGAAGTTTTGGTTAACTACCAATAATGAATAATTCATTGGGGAGATTATGAATAAGAGCAATTGTCATGACTAAGAGAATGTGCCTGAAACTGACATAGCATTTGAAATAGAATAGTTTATAGATTCAGCTAAGGGAGGGTAGGTATATATTCTGGGCTAGTAAAATGTTGAAATTCAAAACTACCTTCAGGGAATAATAGGTGCGTGGTTCTGTCAGAATCATAGTAAGGAACTCTTAAAACTCAGAAATTCAAAGGCAATGAAGTCAAAGCACATGCCAGCGAATTCACAATTCTCAATTCTTCTTTTAGCTCTTCAGACCTACCTTTTGTTTGTGTTGTTGACATTTAAAAATATTTCATAAGGTATTTTCTCTCTAATTATAAAAGGAAAACATGCTACTAACTTGGAAAATATGTTTGTGTTTTTTCCAATTTTTTTTCATTATATAAATGTATTTGTTGAAATAACTGAACTCCAAATACAACTGTTGGATTTGCACTGAGTTATCACTACAATTCATGTTTTAATTAGAATGTCAAGGTATAACAATTGACATTGTTTCAAACAGTAAACTATTGTTCAATTTTAAATGGTCAGTTGTACCAGAGCTCAACAATGAACTGTGAACTGCATTTTTCTCTGGGAAGCCCCAAATCAATAATGATAAGTCTGTTTCCAAAACCCACTGCAGACATTCTTGAAACCCTGGTCAAGGCTTAATAGATGCACAATGACACGTTAATTAAAAATGAAAAAAGAAAGTCATTAAACTTTGATTGGCTAAGGAGAAAAAACTCACCTAGGGCTAACACAAGACTACTGAGAAAAAAAAATACACATATATACAAAAAACCCAGCAGCAAACAAAATGAACACTTTCATATTCACACATAAATAGACAACATTCCCACTGGACAACTCTTGAAAACAAATAGCAGACATCCTTAGTCAACATTTTTTCTTATACAGAAAAGCAAATATCAGTAGTTTTACCACAGATGAGTGATGGCAACGGTAGCCATTTAGTCAAGTTCAGCCCTAATCCTACAAACCAGAGGAAAGAAATCATCAAAGCACCTTTCAATAGCTTAAGAAAGATTTTATGTAATGCTTTTGATCAGATGCTGGCTTGTTTTGTGTATGTCAAACAAAATTAAAAGCATAAGTTACCATCGCTATCACAGCTTAAAAGAACCAAGAAAAGTTGCAACATAAAAGCAAGAAAACTAACAAATGCCGCCTTTGTATAAAAGTAGAACAAGACAAAATAAAAACCAAAAAAAAACCTTATCATGATAGCAGGGGAAAAAGTGGGTCTTTGATTCAAACCATAATATTTTTAAGGCATGTTAGAAAAACTTCCCCTTATCTAGTTGCTAGTGTGATGAGGGCATAAAATAAATAGCAACACAAGGTCATCAATTTTTCTCTGTAGCCGCTATTATTTCATGTGCCAACAACCTTAATCTTCCTGTTCTTAAGCTTTTTATTAACATCTCAACAAGCACATTCACTCAAGCTGAGCTATATTCATACCCGATGAAATACCAATAGTAAGAGCACACAAGGGCTTCCTGTTTCTGTATATTGCCATTGATGCTTTGTCACTAAATATGTAGGAAACACTGGGATCAAGCCACCAAGCCAGTTATTCTTAACATCTTTACAGTAAAAGCCCACTTTATTGTCTGACACAAACACTTACAATGAAAACCCCAATTTTTAGGTAATTTTTTCCACCTTACATTTTGCCATGCCTTTCATATTATTAAACTTACTTTTTTTTGTCTGCATAGCAATCCATTATGTAATGTAGAATCTTTTTTTAAAAAATATTTTTATTGATTTCAGAGAGGAAGGGGGAGAGAGAGAGAGAGAGAGAGCAACATCAATGATGAAAGAGAATCATTGATCGGCTGCCTCCTGTACGCCCCCTTCTGGGGATTGAGCTTGCAACCTGGGCATGTGCCCTTGACCAGAAGTGAACCTGGGACTCTTCAGTCTACGAAGGCCAGTGCTCTATCCACTGAATCACACCAGCTAAGGCTGTCATGTAGAATCTTTGCAGATGTTTCTAATATATGTAATCTTAGTTGTCATAAATTACATGTCATTAATTATATGGAATTCTAAAAAAAAAATCATTCTGAGAAGTTAGAGGCTTCAAAACTCAACTAATTCACTAACAAATATTTCTATTTCACTAGATAAATCGTACTTCTTGAACAAGTCTTTCATTTCTCTACACATTGAGTCAAATCAACTGTTACACAATGAAATTTGTTTCGATAAGATTGGTTAGAATTTCTTGTCCTATAAACAAGGTGCTTCGTAACTGGGTTTTTTTAAATACCTATATTGAAAAATGCAAACATTCACCATTCAAAGACTTTCTAAAAAATTCTTTGTTGTTCAAAGTTTTATATATGTCTTCTTTTCCCCCATTGACCTCTCCCTACCTGCTCCTGCCCCACAGCTCATGCCTTCCACCCCTATATTGTCTGTGTCCATTGGTCTGCTCATATGTACAGATACAAGTCCTTTAGTTGATTCATTCCGCGCCCCCTCCTCACCCCCTGCCTTCCCTCCATAATTCAAAGACTTTTGACAACCCTGGCCTAGTTTTACCCCCACACCTGTTTTCTCATCAGTGAGAAGTTACTATCTGCCTTTTTTCTACCCTTTAAGCTTGATGCCACTTTACTAAACACTTGGAGGGCTACCAATGATGTATAACAAACATGTAAATACTTCAAAAGAAAAAGATTTTTTTGATACACTATATTCTGCAGCATGATTTCTCAATATAGGCAATTATCTCTGACTTGGGTCAAATTCTTAGGAAGAATGAACACCTAGAATTCCACATACCTGAGCTATTTAGTGGTATGAACATGGCCCAATGATTCCAGTTTGTTTTAAAAGATTGATCCAGCCTTACATAAACCCATTGTTCCTTTTATGGCAGTAAGAGTAAGACATCATTGAAGGTAAAGGGCCCTGAGGTAAAAGCCCTTAGTGAATCAGAAGCCTGAACGGCCCACACAACTTCCTCACACAAAGACATTCAAGTGTGAGACCAAGAGCTAGAATTTTCAAGATGGTTAGTCACTAGTCTCTTATATCTAAATTTTTAACTAAAGGAAAAACAAAAAGATTACCTCAGACATCATTTGACAACTATCCTCTGAGTAATCCAACCCTGGTTATTGAAACTAAAATAGTCACCCAACTATTTTAACAAATTCTATTGGCCATTCCATTATGCACAAGTTGACTCTCTTTCATATCAAGATGACAATTGTTATGTGACTTAGCTGGCTAGGGCTCAGTAAATTTTGTGGTGTTAATAAAATCCAAAAAAGATAAGTTCTTGTTTTTCATAAAGAAAAGATCATTTCCACTTACACTTATAGCATGTGTGGTTGTTTGTTTGTTTGTTTAAATTTATTAAAAATTAATATCTTTGAGCTCTAGCCAGTTTGGCTCAGTGAATAGAGCATTGACCCGCAGACCAAAAGGTCCGGGGTTCAATTCCAGACAAGGGCACATACTTCAGTTGCAGCCTCCTCCTCGGCCTGGGCCCTGGTCAGGGCACATGCAGGAGTCAACCATTGATGTATTTCTCTCACGTCTATATTTCTCTCTGTCTTTCCCTCTCTCTTCCACCAATGGAAAAATATCCTTGGGTGAGGATTAAAAAGAAAAAAAAAGATACAAAAATTTATATCTTTGAAAGATTTATACAAAATAAAATATGAGTACTTTGTACACATGTTTTCTGTATGTGCTTAACAATATTGGAGGAAAGTATACATCTAAGACTTGGATATGCAAGGTAAGTGGAGAATTAAATGCCTGTGAAGAGATTAGTAGGTAATATTAGTAATCCTGGTACCATAAACAGAAACTCAACTTTAGGGAAGTGCATAGGGTAAAGTGCTGCATTTCCATTTTTCATCACTAAGAATAAAACTAGTTAGATAAAAAATTATTGCCAAATTTACTGAAAAGAAGATATCTAAAAATATTTTGTGGTCTTAACTCAGAGAAAAAGCTTTAGAAAATTCCACTTTCATTTGGTTAATGTTCTGACTAGATATATAATTGACAAATTCAGATGTGCAATTTGTGGGCAGAGAAAAAGAGATAAAATTATACAGTTTCTCTTATTCTTGAACTAATAAAAAGACAGTACTGCTATTCATATGGAAAGAGAACTAAAAAGTTATGTCACCAAATATATCCAGTGTTTTGTCCCCTGTAATTTTAGAATGATAAAGCCCATGACCAGTCTTCTGGTCCAGTGACCTGACCCACGTAAACAATGTTTCATGGCCCAATTTATAGATAAATGTATATTTATTAGAGGGTCCCTAGCGGCTGCCGGCCGCCAGTCAGGTATCCTTCCCCCCTCCCCCCCCAGCTGCCTGCC